AGTTATGAAATTGTAAGATTTTAATAAAGGCATTTTAGGTTTTTGACATCGAAATACGAAAATGCATTTATTTAAGCAATTAACACTATAAAAATAAACGTTTTCTCTTAAAAAAAATGTTTCTGACAATGGCTAGGACGATTATTATAGGTACATTACTGATTTCTCTATTTTTATGAAATTTTTAATGTATCATAAAAATTGTGGGTATAGTCTTTAACAATTGGTGGCGATAAGATACATTAGATACGGTTAATATATCGTCTGTACACTTCAACGTTATCAGGACGTAATTGAAACATTTAGAAAATCAAAAATACCGCGCAAATTAAGTGTTTATTTAAACCAAAAATTTTCATTAATATACATATACAAAAGCGTTAGGTTTTTCAAAATATAAATCTCTGCGATAACGTCTGTTTTGATCGGTAGTTAATATTTGTATTTTTAATGTAAGCGGTTTATACATAGGTACAACATCCTTTTTGCAATATGGTTGAAAAAATTGAGAAAAAATTGGTGAACGTTTTGTGCATTAGGCGTATTATGTATGTATAAATAAAAATTCGACAATTGTCTCTCAGTATACATACATTTATATAAGAACATACATGCTATTACCTATTGTCGTTTGTCGTTCAAGAAAAAAATGATACTATATAAAACCATTACTTTTCGAGACCGTTATGTTTTTTTTTTTGCTAGCTTCGCGTATATAGGTATCTACAATAATTATATTATACATAATTATATGACGCGTCTCAAGAGTTACATAGCTACACATGTATATCTACGAACACGTTTATACATATGTATTTTGTAATTGTAATGATTTTTGCGTCTATATTTATCGCTAGAATGTTGCTGTTTTTCTATAAATACAAGTAAACAACTTGATCAACGGTATGAAAAAACTGTAACTCTTTTCATTTTTGAATAACAAATAACGTTAACAAGCCAGTGTGTAAATGAACGTACACATCAACGTCGTATCTTGAATACCTTGAATATCTAACATATACAGTGCTATTTAATAATGCGGGTAAATATATGTGAAATATGTTTTATAACTTTTTATAACCAAATAAATTAAAAAAATTCTGCGGAGTTAGTAGAAATAAAAATTATGTATAACAAAGTAATATGTATTATAAGTAGTAGGTATTTTATAAGAAGTAGGTGTGAAGAAATAAATAGAGCAAAAATATGCTCACCCTAGTTACCACAAAACCGGTTTACTGCGGACACGTCTTTCGTCCTCTTGTGATCTGTTATCAACGCGAGACTGGTCTTTAGACGTGGGCGAAACACGTGTCGCAGTGAACAGGTTTTGTGGTAATTAGGGAGTCTCTTTTGGGTTTACATAGGTACCTACCTGAGATTTTTAGTAAACAATTTTATTATTTTATAAAAAATACCCTTATGGAAACGTTTCCTTTAAAGTTTACATTGATTGGCATGTTATTTCTTTAGAATTCATTGCAAAATTACCTCAGTAGAAAGTAATGTTTTTATCTCTGAATTAATTCAAGTATTAGGTAAGCATAAAAACCTCATACTCCTACACATTTTTAATACATCTACTATTTGACCTATGCAAAGCAATTAGTCACATAGACTGAAAAACGACGTAAGACATGAATAGTGAATTGTCGCTGTTACCCTGTAGTAGGTGCTAATAAAATCATTAATCCGCTGAAAATTGAACAGCATTTAATAGATACAGGCTTTTTTCTTTTTAATGGCATTCGTCAACGCAACGGCAATAATAATAATGACAATGACGATGATTATCTAGTATAAAAAAATAGTAATTCTTAAAGCAAAATGTTGTTTTGTATCAATATTACCTAAGTAATTTTGGTTTTGTTATATCGGGAGTGACATAATCTTTCGTTTAGTAATTACCGAACGAGTGTTTTGTTTTCATAAATGTTTAACAAAGTTATTGCTGTCATGAAGGTATCTATAATGTATGTATCACTGTACAAAGATTGCATCGTCTGCATGTATATTTCAGTTCTAAATAAAATTACAAATAAATCATAAAAAGTAGATATTTTACAATTTTTAAAACGGATATTATTTTTATTGCTCCTTTATATTTTTTCCTCACGCTACGCCTTTGCTTTTTATATTTGAATAAAGGTAACAAAAGGAATAATAAATTTACTTTTATTCTTTCTTATTAGCAGTTTGCGATTTGTTTATCAATAATTTAAGACGTTAATTTCGTTTAATTAAGTACCTATTTTATGTAGTATGATACTTTTTATTATTCCTTGGAAAACGTTGATAATGAATCATTTCTTCGGTGGATACCTTATTACTCTCTCTCTTTACATTTAGAATTTATTAGTAAAATGAAAAACGTTTGATCGTGAATTGTATTGTTATTGTCTCCTTTTAGATTCTTGTAATTTTCTGATTTATATTCATCAAATGTTTTTATTATTTTTTCTGGACAAAAGAAAGGTTTCGTTTTTCCTTTTTCTGTCCAATTAAAAATGAAGGAAGCTACTTACGAAGGAATGTTGTTGAATGAAGTCTATATACCGTAAAGGTACATCCTTAAATTTAAAAAGACAGCCATTGTAAATGAATTTCAACGAATCTACTTTACTGCACAAAAGAATTATAAAAGTTACAAAAGTTTATTTGTTTAGCAAAGGCAACTTTTAAAAAGCATTGCATTTGTTTTGTCTATCTGTTTATTTGATAAATAACCACTTTGGGTAGAAGTTATTAGTTTGAATTTGCAGATTTTTAAAAAATATACTATACGTTTGGCTCGTTTGTATATCAGTTGTTCCTGTAAAACGTAATAAACTAATAAATAATATATCCTCGTAGTTCTCAGTCCCAAAAAGCTAATGTTACAGTACTCTCCTTATTATCTATCCTAATATTACATGATCTCCAGGAATTTAATAATTAACATTGTTCGGTTGTCCAAGGTTTAATTAATAAGGATTAGCTGTTCACGTTTAATGTAACATTATATTTTATATACACACCACAAGCGTGTACTAAAGTTTGAATCGCGATTATAAAAAAATTTCGAAACAGTTGGGTTGCTGGTAGCGAATTTAGTGGGGTTTCAAGCACGTTAAGAATGTACCTATACCTAAATCGCAACCTTTTATCGCAAAGAAAGAAGACAACTGAATTGAAGTACATATACCTATATGGGAATATAATAAATTGGGAAATATAATTTGGAAAATTAATTGAGGTAAATCGGCCGCAAGTTTTCCGTCAACATTGTGGTTGATATAATAAGGACAATGGAGGCACGTTTACCGGGGAAAATGCTTGTTAAGTTGGCGTTTAGGTGTGTCACGCTCTGTTGCACCGCATCATTGTTTTCCCAGTTGAAGGGTGTAATAATGTACACGTGTATAAATCGCGGTTTAAACCACGTGTGACTCGATTCCAGATGTGGCATGAACACAAGCTGCAACGACCAACGACAGGAGACATCTATTGGGGACATGTGTGCCTTGAGACTCCAACAAAGAAAGAACTCACAGGATGACTCAATAAAGGACACAAATTACTAAAAAAAAATCCTCTCATTTTCCATTAAAAGTAAGACCTAGGAGTGGCACAAAATATGTCATGACCAAAAATTTCATGTTATAACTTTCCCGACAGGAACTGATCATGAAAAATAAAGATTCAGTTGAAATGAAAACTGAAAAAGAATCGAAGTAAATTAAGAACCAAACGTCGCATTTAGAGTAGACATAATTTACAATTAGATTGGAACAATAATATTTGCCATAAAATTAATACTTATCTTGTTTCTTGTATATATAATTGACAATGAGATAATATAGTTTTGGTTGGGTAAATAGAACCAAAATGGTGCCAGTTTAGACAATAATTTTGAAATTAAAAGGAAAGGAAAACGCATCTAAATATTATTAGTTTCATCTGTGGTTGTACCAGTTTCAAACAAAAAACCAAATCGTTCGTACATATTGGAACAAAAATCGTTTTTATCTGCACTTAATCATATTTTGTGATTAACTAGCATTTTACCAAAAACAAAAGAACTGAATGAGACCAAATAAACGAATACTGTTTATTTTTTTTTTTTTTTATTATTTAAGTTACGTTAGCTTGTTTAGTTGAGATTACTTGCATTTAAATTGTAATTGTAATTTCTTTTTCCTTACTAAGCGTTTAATGCCTTATTGGCATTTTATCCAATCCCACTCGCGTTACTTAATGCGATTAGTCTTTTGATAGCGAAGTATTTTACGACAATACTCTAGTGTATAACCAGCCCCGTTTTATACTTATGTCTTGAGTAGGATATCGTAATACTTATTTATTGACTGTTGATCTTTGGTGTAAAAATTTACCAAGCACCAGCCTATAAAATTTTTAATAGGATATTTATTTTGAGGGACTATTTATCATTAAATTCAAACCTGTAGCCTAATAACAGGAATAAAAGCTACTGTGTACCTACCTGGACAACTGTATATTCTTTTATTAATTATTTTATTTTCCTTTGGCATGTCCGCGCAGTTATTTTGAGTTAATACGTTACGAATTATTAAGTGTAAGCTTGAATAAGGCACTCGTGTTTGTTGAATTTAATTTCATTCACGGCTACTTGGAGTAAAATTAAAAAAAGGTAAAAGTACCATGTGTGTCTAGTGGCTAAAAGAAACGAAGTTAAATTAAAGGGTTTTTTTGCACAATTCATCCTAATTAAATCATAATTAACTTTTTCATTTTTCTTTCTATTTACTTTAAAAGCCAGTCTGTTTTGACATCATGTATACTGTGTAAAATGTTCTTTTCTTACAACGTTTCGTTACATTTTACAATACGTATTGTGTGCATGAAGGTATGTTTTAAATGTTTGCAGCAAAAGGGAATTATTGTATACGTAATATGTATATAGCAGATTTGATGATAAGAATGTTATTCTACTGCAACTATTTTGTTTACAGAACCTTGGACAAAGAGAAGACGGCAAGATATTTAGGTAAGAAATCCTTTTTTGCATAAAAATCCTATTATGTACTTTGGTGAAGGAAATACTTGCTATTGTCGGTTAGAAATATATAAATCTAAATACCCTAGTAGCGAGTTAAAAACCGAAATTGCTTGCAATCATCAAAAGACGACATCGTCTTTTGAAAAATATGATGTGGTACAGAAAAATCTTACAAATACTTTATAAATCATAAAGTAATGTAAGTCCCATGAAGCTTTTGAGGGTGTTAGGCTTTATTCAGGTGATTGTAAAAGTAAATTTATAAACGGCTGCGACCTTAACTTGATGGAAATCCATAATCAATTTTCACAAAACTTTTAATGCTTTGTTTTTCTTTCGACATAAGTATTTACACTTACTATTAAATGTTGTGTCTCTAAACAGTTTATAATTAGAAGTGGTGATTGCGGAAACGACCAAACAGATGGAATAAATTCCACCACTAAATTTCTTTCAATTGTATCAACCCCTCCTTCTCAGTTGTAAACTGTTTAAGGATAAGATTTGCATTTATGATTTAGTAGTAGTAGAAGTAGCAAAGGTTCAGCAAATATACATATGTCACATTGCGAATACCTAAAAATTTTGTCGGGAAAAGCATAAAAGAAAATTTTATTTTAACGTGAAAATTATGTAATCAAGTTATATAATGGACTGGGTTCGTAGCCAAGACAACCGGAAGTTTTGACGCTTGTCAGATTGTCTAGACACGTGCTATTACGTACACATTTCAATCCACAATTTAATAATATTCTTAACAAATATTTTATTCAAAAAACAAAAAGTTCTTGCTCCGTATTCTGTCGGAACTGTCAGACACGGATCGCCAGTTCCAACTCATTTGTCTTATCAGTACGCCGTAGACAGCTTATATACTTGTATGAAAAGTCTAGGACTACCGGAAAACATATATTGCTAGTTCATATTACAGCTCTGATACGTAAACTATTTCCTTAAAGTACTGACGATGAACAATGCAGTGAGATAATGCTCGGTTTACATGCGGACGGCGGCTAGCCGGTTCGACTTTACTGTTTTCTTAATTGATTATATAATCAGTATTTTTCAGTAAATTAATTCAGCTTATGGTTGCTGTAGGATTTTTATTTTGTTTTCACCGTCTAATATTTTTACTATCTCGAAAATAAGCCATTTACTGGTTCAACGAAACGAAGACTTTTGACGTCATGTATATGTTTTTCTTGTCTGTTTGTAGTCGGTCGTTACCGGTCGACTAGCTACGAAATGTGCTTAAATAATTTATTATTAACAATACTCAAGTGAAACACTAAAACCCAAAATTCAATGGATATAAGAACATAGGCTTGAGCGTCTAAGTGAGGACAATGCGTGTTGTGAGTTTTTTAAACTTTTTGTTTCGAAACTTTGGGTTTTAATGTTTTGCAGAAGTCTATTTTATGTTCTTTCACTGACATATGGGCATATATTTATATTATTGTGCTATTTGTAAAAGAAAAGAAGCTAGTAAAATTGGACGTTGGTAATTGATGTGTTTTGAGGGACTATAAAAGAAAGAAAAAGTCGCAGTTCTTTATTTCTTTCATTTTAGTTCAAAGGACCGCAAGGACAGGTCATTTTTTGTTCAAAATGTTATCCGGTTAGTTACTATATTATATACCTACCTACCTACCTACCTACCATTTTAAAAGCACTTCTCTTCGTTACTCCTTGTTCGCAAAAATAAAGAGCAAATATTCGGAAGCGCTATTCAATTTTGTATTGGGACACGTGCCCTCCCCCATGCGACCTTCAAAGATGCTAAAGCCCACCACCTTTTTGCGTGCGTCACTCAACTCCCTATTGATTATAGATGCGTGAACTGATACCTACCGAGTCGCTTTAATATCAGTCTGTTCCCGCAACTGTTTCTTTTGACAGGTGTCTTGACTTGCCTGATTAAGAAATTTTCTAAGTTTATATTCCAATGTCTGGTTTTTTCTATCTTTCATTTATTTTCAACAGATTTTTTTCCATGTTCGCATTGAAACTTTTATTTTCATTTAGTACCGACGCACTGATGATTATCTATTCACAATTATTGCCGAATGGAATTTCCCTTTCTCGCTTTTCCCTTCATCCCCTCCTTCTGGAAACTCGGAAACTCTCATGTAAAAGTTGTCTGGTGGATATGTACATAGAGTAAACTACATTACATATACCTGTGGTAATCTACAATAAATTGATTTTAAAGAAAGTAGATTTCCGGATTCTAACCGCGTCTTCTTGAAAAAAATCCCCACGAACCCGATGACGGATCATGGTTACGTCAAAACTGTGAATACAATTACAACAAAAAATAACACGTACTACAAAAATTTTATGTGTAGAAGTTTTTTATTGTTGCCTGTGAACGAAGATATGTATATGTACACACGTCTTCCGTTGTTTCTGACATATTCATTCTTCACATCGTATTTTGAATGGGTCTAGTCCAACATTAAATAGTTTGGCACATGAACAAGTTTTTTTTATGAAACCGAATGCTACAGCATATTACAGTAAAGATAAAACATATTGTACATAGCTATTGATCATTGTAATTATTGATCAAATAATAGAATAAAAGTTGTTGTTAAATCCGTTATCACTAAAAAATAAAAAGTTCTTCATTTCTATCTGGGACCGGACTGGCTATAAAAGAACTTTAATTTTTGAAACCCTGTAACCCTCGAATATAAAACCTCCTAGCCCCGTAACCGAAGCGTTTTAAAACCCTGTAATTCTTATGTAAAGTAGTTCAATACTTTTTACAATTCTTGAGAACTGGCAACGATATCATTAATTGCTTCATCATCTTCCAAGCAGAAGCTTCCAACAAATCTCGACTAATTGTTAGAGTGAATCTGAACTTGGTTTTTATGATTCTTAAATGTAGAAGATTGTTCCACATGAAATTTGAGTGCATGATAATGTGAGCACGTTCATTCACACTTGGTCCCAGTGGCTTGGTGGCGATCACCACCAGGTTATGGGCCAGTCCGATCCTGCTTCTGTTTAATAACAAGTGCTTAATTGGGGTTGTTAATACAATATCAAGCCCCCTTCCGTCAAATATATATGTTTTTCACGAATACGAAGTAGACGCTGTTTTTATTCCAATTGGAAATTTTGAGAAGAAATATATTACTTTTTTCTCTGCCTTTCTCAAAAATTTAATTTTCACGTTATACCGTTTGAAAACTTGAAGCATTAAATTAGCTCGAGCAGTTTTTTTTTTGTGTAGCGACGAGATGTTTTCAGAGAAATTCATTATTGTTGTTGTTGTCGTTTAGGATGTGTTGAGTTTTGATTTAATTGTGTGGCGTTTGTAGTTTTTGTTCAAACGAAAGCCTAAAAGTGAGTTGATGGGCTTTGGCGTTCTTGCAGTGCATGGATTTGGTGGATTCATTCGAGCCGGGGCTTCAAGTTTACACAACTTATAGCGAATCTATGTATAGATAGATATTTTTGTTTGTTTATGTCTATAATTAACATTAAAAATTGTTCGGGCAATGCTGTGTGCGACTTAGGCAGGTCAAAAATACTCAAAAAGCCGTGCTATAGCTGTACTGAAATAAAACTTATATTTTGAGCGTGGCTTTTATTCTAGATGGGAAGCTGCGAAGCCCGTGGTTAGTGGGTATCAGTGCTTTGAGCGAGTCGTCGAACAGCTCCTTCGACTCCTCGCTCTGCCCCACGGTATTACAAAGACTTCTTCGCGCATTTTCTGAACCCCACGTTTGTTATTGTGCCCCCAATGAATACTGTGCGTACTTTGGAAACGACTTTCCGGCAACGCGCCGTATCTGACGTCCCTGCGCTTGTGGGACGTGAACGTTGGCGACAGGAATCGTCCGGTCACCTCTTCCTTAGCTTGTGGCTTCTCTCTCGCTGTCGATGGATTGCCCCCTGCAGAATGCGGACCGATTCTTTGAAGGTACATACACATACAAAACATCGACACGCGCTCTCACATACTACGCGACAACTAACCTACGCTTTTACATAACTGTCACATACGACATATAAATAAAAACCTTATCAGTCATGATCAGCGCAATAATTTCTAATTTATCCATTTTCTACAGTTTAGACATATATGCATACGTAGATGTTTCGTAAGCCTACATAATGATATATACCTACCTTCATTGCTTTCTTGAAGGAACAAAAAAAAAGTGTTTGGGCTTTTTCTTATCGAATCGACTCGAAAATCCAAAAAGCGATTAATTAACTTTAATTAAAAATGTGGTTATCGTAGCGGACCGTACTTTAATCAGTTGAGAAAATTAGCTGTCAGTTTTATTGTTTAAGTTGAATCTTATCAATTAGAATTAATTTGTAGAAAAGCCTCTTTAAAGGACAGCTATTCATTTTCATTTTAATTTACGTAGATACAAAAAAATTCCGGATGTTTTATTCTCATATTTCTAATTACTGTTCGGAAATCTGTATTTGTTGTTCCTGTGAAACAGTTTTGATCAAAGTTACCCCGCGTAATCTCTCTTGCAAGTTAATTCAATTATAAGTTTGTCTTAATGTGAATGATTTCGGTAACTAATCATTTCAGTAACCAAATTTCCCAGTTGTTTGATCACAAACGGAATTATTTAAATGTCAGTATCAGGACATATACCGACAATAGTTAGACTCAGCAATAATGTAAAGGATAGAGAAACTTCCTTTATTCGAACTTAAATGCAGAACTACAACAGTTACGTTTGTGTTAATGGTAACTTCTGTTTTTGCGATATAGTACTTCGTTCGTGTTGTCTTTCCCTATAGTAACATTATGACCCTAATCCGTCTGCTAAAGTTAATTAATTGTAAGAAAATTATTCTTTAAGGAAGGAATATTTTTTTGTCAGAGAGCAGTTTGTAGTTCTTGTGAAATTTGACTGGTATTATTCTATTTTTAGTCGATAGAAAAGTGTATTCGGCTTAGGTTTTTATTTATGAATTTGTTCGCGTAATTATACCTCAAAGCTCAAAGCAGTGATAACTCTTAATAACTTTTCCTCCTTAAACTCCAGCTGTTTCAATAAGTTCTTCTTAAAAATAGATGGTGACTTGTTTTTGGCGTTTGTCCAAACGAACTCTACTGAAACTTGTCTTGTTTACGTCCGCTGAGTCGATAAATTAATTTGAAATCTCGCATCAAAAGTTTCTTTTCAAATTTAACATATATGCACGTAGTATACGAGGTTGTAGTACGAAGTTTCCCAAAGTTTTACCTTGGTATTTAACAGATTCGGTTTTTATTTAGTTTGTCAAAGATGCACTTAAAAAATTTATTGTAAGTATCCTTACAATATTTCCTTGTGGTTGTTGTAGTTTTATTAATATAAAATAATTTCGAAAAAGTTAGACAACAAAAAGTAATAAATATTTCCAGCTTGCCATTTTATTAGGGTATTTTATTAAATTATGTGTTTTCACCTTTTTGGTGAGTATTGGCTACAATTACCTGAACCAAACTACAGTTCGCATTACTAATTTTTTTTTACTAAATTCCATAAACCTACGTGAGTATGTACCGCGTAACATAAGCAAATAAACAAATTTACCTTGAACTTTTCAATTCTTAGTTAAACATTGTTTTTCAAACGGTAACTACACTTGAACTGATACTTCTTTACGCATTTCAGAAACTTACCATTTAAATGAAAAATACCAACTGATGTTGGAAATATTAATTTCAATTAATCATATGCTCCAACATTTATCAAATTTGTTTTCTAACTGTAAGAAAATGTTACATTACTTAGATATATCAATAACAGGTACAAAGTTCATAAAAGTACATATGTACACATTATAAATCGTCTAAAATATTTACATTGTACTTTTTCAAAAATTTAGTTATTTCTTAAAGGGTAAATCAAATTATACATATTATATGCAACTATAGAACATTTACATACATATAATGTTAAACGCATTGTCATAGAGAACTTTACAATTTTACGTAATGCGTTAATATTTTAATCATTTTGCCGGTTAATTTTTTCTTTCCATTTTTTGTAAATTTGGCCTGAAGAATTTTGTAGTCCTCAAGAACAGTATGTAAATTCTGCCGGTTTGTACTCAGGTAGACACAGAAGACAAAAACTGTTCACGTAAATGTAATGACAATGTTAAAACAATTTTCTTCTAAAGTTTCTTCAGTATTGGTGACATTTAAAAAAAAAAACGCGACATGCTGTGACAGCAGTTGTCTTCTATAAATGTTAATTGAGTTTTATAATCATGAAATTTTATCGAGAAAAATATTCCAGTGTTTCTTCGAGTGGAAAATTTCATGGTTATGTAAACGGGCGTTGAAATTTCATTTTTTTTCCGATTATTTTATTTTGAGGGAAATGATTTGAAATTGGCGAACATCTGGCAATGGCGCCTCCCGCGGCGACCGTTCCTACACAGGAGTACGGTGCAGGATAAAACTCGTGGACGTCTGGATTGTTTCATCGGCATAGCACGTGCGACATGTCGGCCGAGGGTAAACTCTACGTGTGTCCATGTATCTCTGTGTACGTGTCGTACGGAGGGGCGACGGAGGGCTTGTAATTTGACGCACTTGGCTGCCAGAACGCGCCTTAAAAGGCATGGGTACTTGAGAAGGGGCCGCATCGGTAGCAAAGCTCCACATCAGCTACTACGATTGTGACTTACGCACCGCGCCGCGCCGCTGTTGAGTCGTAAACATATGCAGCACCGCATCCGGGTCACGCGAACTGCGCGCCAGATGCACGACACATCTATTGCAATACCTGAATTCCGCTCCATGGTCCTTCTAGGACCAACGCATCCTTCTTTTACCCATTACAATGACTAATGCCCATCTCATGTCTCAAACAGTGTTTTTACCGACCCACCCACTAAACCACGACTAATACGAACGTTCATGAGTCACAATAATTATTTGACAATATATGCAATCAGTCATGACTTTAAAGAAAAAAGCTGAAAAATCACAATATAAATTGTAATGGCGCTTATTAATGGTCCTCGTCCTTAGGTACACCCTCCTATATGAAAAATATAAAATTATTAAACTCGAAAGATGTGGAGATCGAGTGATCTACGTTAACTCCTTCTTCCCAAAAAAATTGATTAGTCTACAAACTTTTACTTATCTTCCATCATCCAGTTTTCCCTGTCGTCATTCAAATTGAGAAGGATGAGCCGAACTTTTATTTTATTCTGTCCGTTCAAATTCAGGGTTGAAATTGACCTGTCCTGATCTTACTATTGTTAATAATAATTGACAACCATTGCTGGTGTTTGTTTCTCGGAATATTGTTCGGTTTTAAAAATTTAAAGAACCTTCTGTGGATGTTGAATATTTCAGATTGTAAAAGCTGCACGTCTACAGTAAAATATATTTGACAAGAAAATTCTTACGTACTTAACGTAAGTAGTAGGTCGATGCTTTTAAAGAGAACTTGACGGGATCGGAGCAGCCCACTCGTACGGTACCGGGAAAAGGGTCTAGGTTAGTGAATATTTTCAAAATTTATCCGAATACAGAATAACGCCTACAGTTAATTTAAAGTTGTCTATTTGATATTAATTGAAGGGGCTCTAATGCTCGAGTCCTTCCGAATGATTGTAATTTACTTCCAACTTTTCCTGAACGCTTTCAAATTAATCAGGAAATCAGAAAACTTAAACATCAACTCCAATATAACCAAGTTTCAATTAACTAAAATAGGCAAATAAAACCAACCGTATTTTTAACAATATCACTTACTTATATTACGTATACGTAATTACTTCAGTGAAGTAAGATAGGAAACATATTAATTTTGTGTTTATTACTCCAACGTTTCCGACCGCTGATTTCACTGCTATTGAAGAAAATTAATAGACATAATATCCATGTGACATTTTCATATTTCCAACGAAAATTATATTATCAAAATTCAAATAGAGTGATTGAATAAAGTGGAACACAAGTGTGATTTTGAAATGAAATTTCCACTTTAAATACGGTAGCGTAAAATCGATTGTGTGATATCTTGAACGGGAATATATCACGTTCCTATCTTTTAGACTAGAGTGTAGTGGATTTTGTGGGATAATGTACGTAACTGAATCTTTAAAGATGGAAAATCTTTTACAGAAAGTTACATTATATATACTCGTTCTAAATTATGTATTTGTCCAGTATTTTCATTACATGGTATTTTTATTTCAGTCTCCTTTTCGCATATGCATTTAAAACACTTGTATCTTATCGACTGTCTTCTGTTAGATGCTGAAAACTATTTACTTGTAAATATATGTATGTTCTTGGTTAATTCCGGAACCTTCCCGTATTTTTTTTGTGTAAGGAGGTATAGACCGCACAATAAGAGGAAACTGTATTTCTTTTAATTAGTTTCCTTTTAATGTACGTCTTATTCGCCAGGTGATTTATGATTCTGCAGCTGTGGGCACCAAAGGTGTAAAAAGGTGCCGCGCTATCGATCTCCCACCGTATGCATACATTAATAATAATATATTATTGTGTTAGTCACTCTACTTAATGCTTAAGTAGTAGTTTCAAGTCTTACATCTAAGCATTTGTTTTAATTCTTAATATTTAAAAATGAATTTAGTTTTATGATCTTTTTATTATAATTTAATTACTACTAAAAAAGGCGCTGTATCGGATTTGTATTTCGTACATGTTGCATTTCTTCCAAAAATCATTTCATGGTAGATAAATGATAAAAGAACATTTCAAAATAAAAAGCATTAGATATCATGAACCATATAAAGTATTAAAGCCTATGACGACTGTGTTGAATACGGTATGGTATCCCTTAAGTCGAGATCTGAGGTGACTAACCCCAACCGGGGTTTAGCACCAGAGATGGCGTCTTCTGATAGTGACTCAGCTTAGCGTCGCGATGCCATTCCCCTGCTCCCGCGCAGCCGTTCCCGGGCATGACTAGCTCAGCTGCACACGTGCCCAAAACTATCTTTAGACTACGGCCCCTTACGTGTCTTTTTTTGCCGAATGTTGGCATTCGTTCACCGAGGGATTCGCTCTAAAATCTTGTTCCTTTACGACGGACGTGTAAAAAAAAAGAACAACAAGAATATTCCACTCCGTCTGTGTGACCTTTGGTGGTAAAGTGCATGAACAATTTACAGTTTTATTTCATTAAAACAAAAACATGCACTTACTGCTAGTAGTCCAACAGATTAAAAAAAATGTACAGTATTGTCAGTCCCTTTAAATTGCTCTACGATGGGTATTTTTTCATAAAAACTTAGGTACACAGTATTACAGAAAACACAATGTATGAATTACATTGTGAAATACGACAACTGTCTAAATAAAAGTACTAAACATTATATTTAGAAGAATATAAAATACTTAAATGGTCAAAAGTAAAATGATCCTTTCTTTTTTCAAGTGCATATAAAGATAAATCTTTTACGCATATTTATGTGTAACATATCAGATTAGCACCCTAATCATTTTTTTCTCTTTTTTTTTTACAGGTTCACTGAATATTTCACACTTCAAATTCGAAAAGAACGTAAGTTTTTTTAACATTTGTAATTTATCACTAGATATATATTGTTAACGGAGCCTAAACCGTTCGTAATTTTAAAAATTATTTCGACACTACTAGAAATTAAAACAAATGTAAGTAAATTTATTGTACTAAATGACTTAACAGAGAAGAAATATTTTACTTTGCCTTCTCATGTTGCATTTGAGTGTAATAAGAAAAGTTGTTACCTAGGTGATTTAGAAGTATTTGTTTGTAATTTCCTTTTCTTCATTTTATTCTCCAAAAGCAGACCATATTAAAAATCATTGTCCTTTTGTTAGTTGTAGTTGTAATTGTTGTCCATTGACACCAACCAGGTATCTACTAATAGTTTTATTTGTCTCAAGAAAATTATTGGCAGTATGTCGGGTTTTCTGTTTATTTTCCGAAATTTCATTGCACTTAGCTTTGAAAATAAATTGTTACATAAGCCACGATAGATGAATTAACGGTATTTATATAAAAATAACGTAAGTATATGTTGAGTTGGTACAACAAAATATAGATACGAATTCAAGTGTTTATTTATAATAGAACACGAATAGATTTATTGTTAATTTAACAAAAGTTATCGTTTGATTATACCTAAGACTTATAAAATTTTCAAATGTTGGAAAACTTCTCGTTGCCTTAGTATATTTTCTTCAGATATTTTTCTTTTACCATTTCAATAGAGATGAAGGCATCAGAAGCTTTTGAATTTTTTTCCCCTGGGGAAAACCTATGAAAACTTTTGTTTTTACCGTAATATGTTAAGAAAGTTTTTTCTACATATTTAACCGCAAGTAAATCGATAAAATATGTCTAAACTTTTTGTGTAGGTATAACAACTTGAAAAAAATTTCTCTGTATCTTAACGAAAAACAACGAGGAATGAGTTAACACCCAAGACCTATTTACATTGAATTGTTATGGTAATTCGTCTACCTGAAAAGATTTTTGAGAGGAAATATTAATTTGTTGTAAAAGATGTCGATTGCGTATAAATATATAAATGGAAGCTATGTATTAATATTCTTCGAAAAGTTGAAACTGCAGGGTACAAGTTAAAAAGGAAGTAATTCTATTTATTTCAACACCTGACTGACTGATTGGTCAAGTGATGTGTCTAAGTGGGGTAGTATGTATGAAGAATACCGCAAATAAAGACGTTTTATTAGTGTTTAGGTATATAATACGAAGTAATAGTGGGAAGGTGTTATTTACTCTTTGCTACCTGCAAGGATTTTTGAGGAGAACATTAGCATAAAAGGTTTCGATTGGGTATAAATGTAAATAGACTATTTGCACATAAATGTGATATGTAAAAGAAGGAAATTGAAAGCTATGTTCTTTGAAAAGTGGCAAATTGTAGGTTACAAGTTAAAGGGGAAGTAATTCTATTTATTTCAATACCTGTAGTTGGTGAGGGTGCGCATGGTAGGGTTGTAGGTATTATTGCCGTGTAAAGACTTGTCAGGTAGGTACATCGTGATTGGTCAAGTGATAGTGTGTGTGAGTGGGGTAGTATGTATGAAGAATGCCACAAATAAAGTTGTTTTATTAGTGTTTAGGTATATAACACGAAGCAATAGTGCAATTTGACTACCTGTAAGGATTTTTGAGGAGAAATTTCAGTATAAATGGACCTTACACATAAATTTCTTATATAAAAGATGGAAATTGAAAGCTAAATCAAAAACTGTTACATACCTTAGTTAAGAAGCCCTATGATAGCGTCAATTCTATGTTCCTTCTTTTATTGACTTATTAAATTGGCAGCGGATATTTAGATGTAAGTGCATTAGTAAACTACAGGGGTCTTACAAATCTGTGCGTCAAATATATTTTCCCATGCATTCCTTTACGTAAATCTGTTTCATCGTTTGGAAATTTTAATTTTAACTTTACCTGAAAAATTGTTAAATTATAATTGGACTGTAAAGCAAAAAATAGCGTCATGATAAAAATGTTTTAAGTTCGAATTGAAGCTTATGGAAACAACTTTCCTTTATGTCGCCTGTGTTGATGTATGTACATATACAATTGTACATATCTGCTCTATGTAAATTAGTAGTTTAATTCGCAGTTGATCACCAGTGAATCTCGGCTATTAATTTACATGATTAAGCGTACTCTTATTTCGAATGTAACCGTTAACACGGCTGTAATACCTCTTAATTAGAGAAATATTCGATTTATTTACCAAATAATTCGATTTTTAGTTTGATGCATGCATGTTTAGGATTCATCTCCGTTTCCAGGAAATAAATAAAGAACAGTTTTAACTAACCGAATATCAAAATTAATTATTTTGAATAATATATTTTTAACCTACCTAACATGATAAGGGTAAAATTGAGTTAATTTAATGAACCAAGTGTTCTCATTAAAAGCAATTCTTTTAATTAATTTTAACCCTAATGTAGATAATGATAGAAAATATTATAAGTTACTTCGGAAACATTATCTGTACATTTGTAAACTTTAGATTAAATTTATAAATTTTTCGTTTGTCTAGTTCGTGTACATCTTGAAAAGATGTTTTCGGTAAGTTGAAAGTCAGTTGAAATAGGTATTGGTAAGTTTCCAACTATTCATTTACATGACTATCACTATCCTCGATGATCGTTGTAGGATGTTGGACAAAAAGATGGTATTTTTTTAAGAGGTCCGATGTTGACACTTTGAAGTAAAGGCATTATTGTCTAGGTACATAGGTAGTTGAATTGTATTTTTAGATAAAATTTTCGGACGTGAAGAGGTATTCGAGTGTTAGCCACGTGTCCACCTTTGTCTTGCCAACCAGGAAGACAAGCATGGTGTGCCCTACAAACTGATAATTAACACATATGGCAACCGTCGTCAACCTTTACATAAACGTACATAAGTTAAAACGCGCATCTTAGGTATAAACTAGTCTTATGGTTCGCACAAACCACAGTGCCGTGGTAAATGTTAACTTAATTAAATTCATTGGTTCAAAATTTCGATCTGTATTAAAACATTTACTATTTGCTATATATTTCCACCATTATTTACTATTTTTATCTCTTCTTTGTCAAATATGCTGAACCAATCACAACAACTAAATATCCTACATCCCTAACCATTTACTCCTGCTTCTGCTTCTAATATGACTAACCATCATTTCATCTGTCAGAAGCTATTGTACCATATCGTATCTCTACTATTCCTTTTTCATATCTAACTTTTTCAAAAGGGACTTGACTCTCTGCTATTCTTTGTTTTATGTCTGTTACGTTTTTTTCCATTCAAAACAACAGTCTCACAGCAATCGATCGGATATCAATAAGATGAATATCAATATCAGTATTTTACCTATAGATTTTGATACACCACTGATTCAAGTTAGGGTTAGATAGAAACATGTCTATCGTCTGCAGCCTCACCTAGACCTAGGGGTGAACGTTCGGCTGTGGTGGCGTTTAAGAAACCCAACTCCTGAGGGATACGCGACAATCATTGGGTTAAAGTTATAAGCAGGGATTCTACCGGATTTCCGTTTTGATGACGTGCTGTTCCCAGCTGTGTGCTGCTTGTCCTGCGGCACCAATTTTCCATACCCTTTAATTTTATTTATCGCCTATACGCTCTGGAAGGAGATAAAACTGTTTTAAGTACCTTTCACTTCGCTTCGTTGCGTCTGTTCTTTCTTCCGAAATACAAGGTAAATTTTAATGGACACGGGTTTAATTTAGGCAGAGATATTTAAATTTTATAAAAGAGAGAAGTACAGTAAATTTGGAATATAACATTGGAAATTACACACCTGGAAGAGCCGTAAATAAAAAAAACGCTTCGGCGACAGATCGTCTACAATATACTGAACAAAGTAGTCTACATTTGTATACATGTTCGTGTAATTTTTTTGTATCTATATAAAAGCTCTTGGAAGTAATCTTCGGTAATTTGATCCTTGGACTACATAAACGCAAATATTCAAATAGCTTTCTTGTAATCTTTATTATCATATAACAACACTAACTTTTTTATGTTGTACATAACAAGTAAATCGTTGCTTGTCTTTTAGAAGTATTTGTAGGTATGCAATACCTATTGTATGTACTTTTTAAACTAATTTAAATTTATTACAAAAATCGCGCTGCTTCTGCTGTATTAATACAATCTTATCAAAGTCTGTTATCAATAAATTTGTTTTTATGATTCAGTGACTGCATTTTCCTCCTGAAAAATAAATATTGCACTCAACATTACCTAATACACAACAGAAAAAGGTGTAGAATAATAATTTTTAATCAGAAATTATTAGAATTGCTTTTTTTATTACGGGTAAAAGTTCGTATTAAACGATGCGTTGGGCAGAAGTTAAAGGGGGTACCGACGGGCCATGTGACGATACATATACCCCACCTATGTGTTTAATATTTTTTATATGACTTGAAATTTGATACGTTATGAACCATTTTTTTCTGTGCATGGGACCTATTCAGAAAAAAAAAATTAAAAGATTAAAAGCTGCAGATAAAAATACAGATTTTTGAATAATTTAGTTCTGGTAGAATTTAGTTTCCTCTCTGTCTGATTTGAACCGATTGATGGGTAACTAGATTACATGTGACAATTTTTCACCGGAAATTTTCACTCTAAAATTGTGACTTGTAATTGCTATTTTCCCTTATCGCCATCGCCAGTACCTACGTATAACTACGACCTGTTTACAATACATTAGGGGTTAAAATTTTTTTTTATCATAATAAATATTGATGGATATTTTTTTAACAAATTGTATCACAAACGACTTAAATCTCTGTACGTATAGTCATGGTTGACTCTAGATGGAAATACTAATACATACAGTAATTACGTTGTTTTCGTAATGGAAAAAAGGGAATTCAAGGAAATTAAACTGCATGCAAATTGTGGATTCGCTTCCGAAAGTGTATGTAAAAGCAGGATTTATCGATTATTGCACAATTTGTACGGTCGGTGCAAAAATGCGTACGCGTCCAATAGGAAAA